TCTCTCTCTCTCTGTCTCTCTCTCTCTCTCTCGCTCTCTGTGTCTGTCTCTCTCTCTGTGTCTCTCTCTCTCTCTCGCTCTCTGTCTGTCTCTCTCTCTCTGTCTCTCTCTCTCTCTCTCTCTCGCTCTCTGTGTCTGTCTCTCTCTCTCTGTGTCTCTCTCTCTCTCTCTCGCTCTCTGTGTCTGTCTCTCTCTCTGTGTCTGTCTCTCTCTCTCTCTCTCTCGCTCTCTGTGTCTGTCTCTCTCTCTCTCTCTCTGTCTCTCTCTCTCTCTCTCTCTCTCTCGCTCTCTGTGTCTGTCTCTCTCTCTCTCTCTCTCTCTCTCTCTCTCTCTCTCTCTCTCTCTCTCTCTCTCTCTCTCTCGCTCTCTGTGTCTGTCTCTCTCTCTCTCTCTGTGACATTTGGCCAGCAGGGTGTTCTGGATTTTGTTGTTGTCACCTGCTGTTGTCTGTCAAAGGTGTCTTGTGGGTAGTTGTACAGGCTCAGAGCAAGTCTCAGGCAAAGGCTTGTGGGAGATTAGCTGCTGACCCAAAATGTGAGCTGACAGCTGGGATGTTTGAGCCAACAGTGTCCCTCCTTGTGAGTGTGTGAGAGAGTGTGTGTGTGTGTGTGTTGTATAAAATTAGAGAGGTGCACTCAGTAAAGTGTAGATTTCCGACAGGTGTGTCATGGAAGGAGATGTTTGGGCTCAAAGTCGTATAATAGACTTCATACAATAAGGATAACTCACCAAGCTGTCTACAGCAGTACTCAGCAAAGTGTGTACTGGTAGTTCCGTTAGCTTTTAGCGATTAGCCAAACTCCCTGTCCAATAAAACAATACAAGTGACTTCTGCAGGGCAACAATAAAGAAGTAATTTCTCATTTTGTTTTAACTTGATCCTGACTTAAAATAAAGTTACTAGCACCTGCATCACATAAAGAGCATGACCATAATCTTTCAGTGTGAATATGAACACGTCTTTCTTACATGTGGACAAACGTCACGTGACTTGAATAAATGGATTTTGTTTTTGTGCTGCTGTTTGTTCCCACAACAAACACAAAGTGTCTTAAGAGTTGTGAAACCTGAGCTCTGTGTGTGTGGGTGTGGGTGTGTGTGTGTGACTCAGCTGTTTCTCCTGGCTTGAACTGATTCAGTGGTGTGTCTTGAAGCAGTTGAGCCAATCAGATCACTTGACACAGATATGGGGGGGGGGGTGTGCTTCAGCGCAAACCCTCTGATTGGACGGAAACCGACTGGTAGAAAACAACACAACAAACTTGCCATGAGATCACAGTCAAATGACGCGGTGGAGTCCTACGTAAACACAGTCACAGTGTCGAAACATGAATTGCACTTCCAAGAAAGGATGCGTGGAGTAACGTCCACCTGTTCTACTGTCAAAAATCTCCTGCTTCAGAAGATTTTTTTTGAAATTTAATTTTCTTAAATCTGGAGCTTAAACTTGTAAGGAAAATTTTAACCTGCGTACAATATGAATCCCATTGTTTTTTTTATAGTTTAGAAAATTAAGTTTTGTTTTGTTATTCTAGTGCAGTGTGCTTCTTATTTAAAAAAAAGAAGTGGTTTAAGTTATATTAAGAAATATATAAATTTCTGTGTAGCTATATACACAAGCGACCTGATGAAATGGAGATTTTCTAAGTGAAATAACCTGCTACTCTTTATGCTAAGCTGATTTAGGCAGCTGCTGGCAGTTGCTTCATCTATGTCCTTCTGATGTTAGAGTGTGATCAATCTTATCATATGACTCTGAGAAAACAAGTGTATTTTCCAAAATGTCGAGTGTTGGTGAAGCACTATTTTCAAAAGTCACATGTCCCCTCTTATCCTGCTGTCCATGCCATGTCACTGACACAAGATGAGGTGTATTTGGGAGGCTAATTGGATTGGTGTTGGTGGTGGTGATAGTGGGGTTAAGGTTGTTGGTTGTGGTGGTGGTACTGGGGTTGTTGTTGGGGTTGATGGTGGTGGTGGTATTGGGGTTGTTGTTGGGGTTGGTGGTGGTGGTGGTATTGGGGTTGTTGTTGGTGGGGTTGGTGGCGTTGGGGTTGTTGGGGTTGTTGTTGGGGTTGGTGGTGGTGGTATTGGGGTTGTTGTTGGTGGGGTTGGTGGTGCTGGTCGCAATGGTAGTGAGGTTGGGGGTGTTGGGGTTGTTGTTGTTGGTGGTGGTGGTAGTAAGGTTGAGGTTGTTGGTCATGGGGTTGGTGGCAGTGGTGGTGATGGGGTTGAGGTTGTTGGTGGTGGTAGTAGGGTTGAGGTTGTTGGTCATGGGGTTGGTGGCAGTGGTGGGGATGGGGTTGAGGTTGGTGGTGGTGGTGGTGGTCATGGTGGTAGTGAGGTTGAGGTTGTTGGTGGTGGGGTTGATGTTAGTGGTGGTGATGGGGTTGAGGTTGGTGGTGGTGGTGGTATTGGGGTTGGTGGAGGTGGTGGAGGGTGTTGTTGTTTCTACCCCCTCTGACCCCATCCCCTGTCCCCCTGATTGCTGCCAGTTGGAATGTAGTGTGACCAGGTTATTTTTAGATGAGGCCGCTTGAAATACTCCAACCGGGGCTTCATTGAGGATAAACACAAGCTGCTCTCTCACCGTGTGGCACGTAAAAAAACCTGAGTTTGGCTCAACCCTGATTTTGTGCCATCATTCTTTTTTTTTCACCGCAAAGACAAGTTCTAGCTGTCTCTATCATCTTGACTATCCAGTGTTTGGCTGCCTTTAATGGCCTCGTCAAATCTTCTGAAATTACCCAAAGCTCTAGAGATGTCTCCTGAAGATCGTGGGGCAGGACTGAGGTATGACTGGAGTTGTGTGTGATCTGGTGAAGAATTTAAAGGGTGTGTTCACCCAAATCCTTTTTTTTTCTCTTCTATTTTCTCACTTTCTCTTTTGTTATCTTGCCATGTGGTAGTTTTAGTTTTATTTGTCGGATATCAACGCCTAAGAGATTTATTTTGTGCCAAAACAACAGAGATAAATGGAAATTAGTTCATGGTGCTTAAATAACTTAGTTTTTGTCTTTCCAGAAACCTTTTTCTCAGTTGCCCCTAGCTACTTTTAACTAAAGACTGAGCATGAAAAGAGAAGTGGTAACTGAGAAAAATATATATTAGTTTTCTTTATTTGGGGATTTGGGTGAACTGAACCTTTAATGCTACCTAATAAGCTATCACATAGGGGAGTACAATCTTGTATTTGTTTGTGTTCAATTTGTACAATCAGTTTAATATTTTAACACTCTTCATGACCTCAAGTCATGAAGAGTGTTAAAATAGCTCAAATTATTTGACACATTTGACTCATAATTTCAGTCCAAACAGATCAACAACATAAACAAAATGGCCTAGCTCTACTTGGAAAGCTGTACACAATGTTGCGTCATCACTCCCCGTCCGTCCATAACACTTGTGGCTTATATTACTTGTAGCTTTTGGCTTTGCGTCCTGGGCAGACTGGCCTTTTGTGAAAGCATTTACTGTAAACTCGATCAGCTGGGACTCTGCTTTCTCACTTCATTAATGTCAGCTCACTGTATATGTGCCTTTACGCAGAACATAAATGGGTATTAGTTGCTTCAGAGTCAGGGTTTCTGTGGTATTTACCTACACAGACAGGTGGGTCAACATCTTTACACCCCTTCTTCCCAATCACAAGCGAAGAGCTGGGATGCTTTTGCTGCCATTCCTCGCATTGTTTGTCTAGCTCTATTTTTAAAGCGCCGTCACCGGGCTTGTTAGCGGCTCAGACATGCTGCTTCCTGTGTTGTTTCAGAGATTACTGGTCTGGTAAAAAGTGACATCTGCCCGACAGCTACTCATGTGGTGCCGCCGCCCTCCTTCCCCGTCTGGGAGTCCTCCTGGGAGTCATGACAAGAAAGTTTGACATTTTTCTGTTGGAGTGACGACTGAAGTCTTCGGACGATAGTGAAAACACATCTTTAATGATTGATGGACACACCGGTGGGAAATGGCGGTGGTGGTCTGGAATGATCTGGAGCAGTGAAACGTGATATATTCACTTCTCAGTATCCAAAGTGTTCGTGGAGCTCAGACAGCATGTGACACGAGGGCTGAAAAATGTCAGGATTTGCACCCCATGCGTATTAACATGACAGTTATTCTTCTCAAGTTGTGCAGATGCTTCTGGATTAAACTCGTGAGGTGGAGTTCAATGGAAAATCTCTGAAGACTGAGGCAGTCAAAGAGACAGATGGGAATATATATATATATATATATATATCAACCATAAGTCCAACTGTATCTGTTCCGTCAATCACATCTAATCTGTTCAACTCTAAGAAAAATAATCAGAAATCAAAAGGCAAACATATATATATATATATATATATATATATATATACAGTATATATATTTGGTTTCATGATGGCCCCCTAGCTTTGCATCAACTCGCCAGAATACCAGTGTTCGTCTACATAGATGGAGACCTTTGGATACAGCCAATCAAATCTTGAATAAAGCAGTAACATCAACATTCTATCATAGCCTTAGGAGAGTCACAGACTCTGAACAACAACCCAAACTTAGCTTTCCTACTGAAGTCTCATCTAACTTAACTTTACAACACACATCTTGTCCTGCACCTTAACGAACGCCACCAAACAAACATTCATCGGGGAAAGGTTTCACCCCTGGCCCTGAACCATGTCTCCACGTTGGTGGGAAAGTAAACTCCACCAGACTACTCTTCCACACTCTAGTTGATCTATGATGTGTTGAAACTTTATGCTACTTTATCCAAGAAGACTTGCATCTCTTTCCAGGGAGACGTCTGTCTTTCGTGGAACGGAGAAACGCTTATCCTTTCTATCACTTACTGCTATTATTGCTTCACGGTATCACTGTCACATGTCCGACCCATCATGTTTCTCTGGAAATCAGCGTCCTACGAGGGGCATGTGCCTGGAAGTCGAGTAGGGGAGCTGCGGGTTCACCTTTCCTCATAAGGGTTATGTGAGACAGAGCTGGGTGTTTGGGTCAGGTGGGAGGGGTGCTGGGAGTATATGAGATACAGTAGCTTCTCGTGGCCTCTCGTGATTGTTCCTTGCAACCTGGCAGATACATGATTGGGGGAGGACAGAGGTTTGGATGGGGTTTTCAGGGGAGAAAGGGTAAGAAAATGGAAGGACGGAAGGGTGGTTTAGTTTGTCTTTCTTTAGCAAACAATGTGATTGAACTGATGAATGGTCTTCAAAACTATTACAAACTGTAGTGTGTTTTAGATTGAAGCTGGTAGCCAGTGTGTTGGTGTGGCTTTATAGGGACAATCAATAATATATGTTGGTTAGTCCACCACCTTGGTCCAAATATCCAATATTGGACAAACAACTATTGGAGAATTATCATTAAACTGATTCCAGTGAAATATCTCAACAGCTATAAGATCAAATGGCCCAAAATGATGTCCAGACATTTATGGTTGGGTATACATAACGAGGCTGTAAAGGCGGAGTAGTCGGTGTGATGACTTTTAGTAGACACTTAAAAGCATAAAAATTCACGAGAGGGGTGTTTACTGACATACTTTATGTCCCAGAACAAAACGTCTAAATCTCATAAGCTTGTGTTAACTACAGACCTTATTCAGGCATCTAACCCGAACCTGAAAACCCATTCAAAGACGAGGGAACTGGAAGTGCAAAAAAGCTGACTCACTTCCTGGTTTTCTGACTCATTCCTGTAGCAGTCTATTTTAATGACTTGATTAACGGACTTTTCCACCATGAGATTGACATTTGTGGTTTTAATGACTGAGGTTTACAGTATATTAATGTAATTTAACAATATGTCATCAAATCTCCTAACCCTAGCTTGAGCCCCTTTCTGACATAGTGGACAACTCTTGGAAAAGTACCTTTTCTAATAAAATGAATACTCTGTAAGACAACAATCACATGTTTCCCAATTAGCCTATTAACCTCACAGCTGTGTTAACTGGTGGGAACTTGCTTAGCTGTTGTGGTAACCCGATCTCCACGGTGATTTCACAGCAGTTGCTTTCACGGCAGCTGTTTTCACAGGACATGTAGTTCCCATCCTCTGTTGGACTTCAATTTATTATGTTTTCACTTAATCTGATGAAAGGTGTTGAGGCAGTTATCTTGCCCCTGTTTCACTGTCACTTTGATTAATTTGATCTGAAACACAGTGGAATTTTTTCTTCAGCCATTGGTATGCTTCAACACAGTGATATGTTGTTCTTGAATGCTAACAAATCAATATTTGTTTTGTATTTGTTAGCTAAGGGAGTAAGCAGGTCTTTGGCTGCCTCACACTCTTATCTATTTATCGCACATGACTTACACATGAGCCACATGCGTTTTATTTTTATAGCTGTTTTATGGGATGTGAGCACGAGGGCTGACAGTAGACCAGGAGGTGGAGGGGAAAGTTTCATACCTCACCAGGTGGCCAAGCAGAAACACGGCATGGAAAACACGTTCACATTCCTATTCCCATCTGTCACCTGTCTATTAAGTCATCTCGCCAGTTTTATAGTAGGTAAGCTTCTTAATTTAGACTATGACATTGCATTGGATGAGCTTTTTTACTAAATTTGATCAATGACCCTCAACCAGTATAATTCTAACCCTCCAAATAAACCTCTTCAATCCCCCTTTTGGTCAAGTCAAATGTTAAGACTATTTTTAATGCAAAGTCACTACATATCAATAATTAATGCTGACCATCTACATATACCAACACGTCAAGTTACTTTATTTTTAAAGCACATTCAAAGACAATACAAGTTGAGCAAGTGCTGTACAAAATTTCAAGGTACAATTTTAAAATCTAGACTGAGCAACTGCCAACCGCTTCAGGACAGATGGTCTCAGAGTGCTGAAGGAGACTAAAAAGAGACGCAGCAGATGTGGAGATTGACAGAATAGGGGATGTGGATAAATGATTGGGAGGCGATATTAGCCCCAAACACGACAACAATTACTGTCAACTCTAAAGTTTACAAGCTTACAAGTTGTATTATTTAGATTTGGGTTTAGCAGTAGATGAAGTTGAGTCATCTGCATAGCAGTGAAAGTAGCTCTGCAACAGATGATCATCGTCATTATTTAATAATCAATGAATTACTTTTTTGATTAACTGATTGTCTTGTCTATAAAGTCATAAACAACAAGGGAAAAAACACACAAGTTAAACGTTTTGGCAAAGAAAACTACTTGAATGAGGTTAGAGAAAGTTTTTCTTCATCGTTAAACAAAGCCTGTCAGACACTCTGTATGGCCAACTATCCACCTTCAAAATGGTGCAGCTCTAGCAGCATAAACTGGTATGGTATGTGAGTTATCTTTAAGATGACTAACATTGCTTTTCTCTTTCTTTTCTTGAAGCTGGGAGATCATTGACTCAAGTCAGGACAGCCAGTCTGGGACTGGACGTCAGCTCAGCAACTCCATCAAAATCTTCCTCCAGGAGACATCGGCTTTCAAACAGCAAAACCCTGGCAAGGTGAGGCAGAGTCGCCCGATGACCCCAGACTGATCTGAACTGTCTTTACTGAGTTATCGCAGTAAAACGGAGAAGCATGTGGTTGTCAGCCTTTCGGGCATTTTGCCCATCCAGATACAAACAGATTCCTAGGATTAGGACTAAACATGTTGGAGAAGATTTGGGTGAAAATAAGCCAGAGCGGTGAATTTCTCGCAAACCTCCACTTAGTGGACTTGGTCTGAAATCATGAACATATCCTTGATTTTAAACTGAAATAAATAGCCCAAAGAGGTTTCTTTAGACTGTTTCTGAATTTTTTTTAAAGAAAGTCGAAGAGTTTGCTCACGTAAAAAAAATAATTTCGTTTCAGGCCTAAGGATTAAGCATGTTTTCCAAAATGCTAAACTTTTCCTGAGAAACAGATACTAACTGTGTGCTATAACTAACTGTCATTGTCTTTGTGTTTGCTGTCTTTCTCTTCTAGTTCTGCCTGCTGGTTTGCAGTTTATGCACCTTCTTTGCTGTCTTAGGACGCTACATTCCAGGGATTCTTATCTCATATATTGTTGGTGAGTAAACTTCTGCTCACGATGAGACCTTTCTATCATGCTAGAGACTTCTTGCATATCCAGTACAGTTGGAGGGTCGCTGCTTGTTTGTTCTGGTGTTGGTTACCTCTAGTGGAAGCTAAGATACAAACATCATCTGTGCTCTTCTACTAGTTGGAAGAAAACTCTTTCTGATATTCAAACCATTTGTTTTTGGTCAGCGATCATAGGAAAGTCCCCACCAGCAAAGACACAATTCCATGATTGTATCTTCATAGAAAGCATCAATGTCTGCTTTCTACCACTGGTAGAGTCTACCTCAATGGAGTCGTGACACTTGCATGTTTTATGGTATGTTAAAGGATTTCTATGGAAGCAAATACTTATGGTACTATATGTTTTCTCTCTGTGCAGTGCTAGGCATTTTCCTGTGGCCTCTGATCTCATTTCACGAGGTTGGTTTGTGGCTGGAGCCAGTTCTGCAGAAGCTGGACTTTGGCATCGGGGAGTTCCTTCAGAAAATCAAAGAGAACCATGGTACTTATGAAACGTGTTAATATGTAATATGTTGAAAATGTTTTGGCCTCTATTTCTTTCAAACTAACTGAAAATGTAAAACACTTCACTTTTATAAAAGAGCAATGACTTTACTTTTGTATTCAGTGTTGGAGTAGAAAACTAAATTAGTTGCATCCATGTTCTCTTCCTTTCAGAGAAGAGAATCATGCAGGCTCAGACTGAGAGAGAAGGCATCGAGTCGGACCTCTCCTCCATGTTTCCCAAGGTTGGTGGCTCATCTCATCTCAATCTAATGATGCATCTGTTGACTGTGACAGGGTCCAGTTAGAGCTAATTGAAATCCAGTACACATGATCCACATCAGCATCACCTGAGCCAATGCCAAACGACTGGTTACAGATTACATGCAGTTTTTTTCACGACTAAGCAATCTAATTCCAGAAACTTTTCAGTAAGTGGACCTTGTGTTGTCGCACAGACCTGAAAGACTTAATGCATCTATCTAGAGTTTGCAAAATACTTCTTAAAAACTTGGCAAGGAGACAGCTCTGCTTACTGGTTAAGAGGATTTCTGCATCCTGTGGCCTTCAAGCATAGTGCACACAGCAAACTACTGCTTCATTATAATTTATCCTCATCCAGTTAGATCAGCTCAGTCTGTACACTCTAAAATGTGTGTTTCCCTCCTACAGCTCGACTCCACAGTCTGTAAGGAAATGTCTCTGTCGGACACTGAGGTGTCTGATGTGACGTGGACGGACAACGGCACTTTTAACCTGTCGGAAGGAAACACACCTCAGACTGAGAACTCAGAGGGTACGTTTTGTGCTTGTTTCCTATCAATAGGCGTTTTTGGACCAGAGGAACCTTTTCATAGTTGTAAGGACCCCATTTTTATTGTGTTCGCACCACAAGACCTAGGAATGATGGTAGTTCTTAGGACGCCGTTTTGAGAGATTGTTTTTTAGCTCCTATTTCAAAGTAGGTACTCCAGCACACTCCGTGAGCATAGTTTACGTAGATTGGTCATGAGCCAATGCAGCACTGTACGAACCTGTTAGACGAGTAATCAACAGACAAGACTGAACACGGACAACATTATCATGCCTTTTTAAACAATCTGTGTTTTTACCTCACAGACCTCGACAGAGAAGAGGCGTTCACTGGAGGCCTTCCAGAATTCCCCTCACTTGACAACGGTGCAACGACCAACGGTGACGACGACGATGACTTCAGCCTCGGCCTTTCCTCGCCTCCCCCTCAGCTGCCGATCAAATCCAAGCATACGCCCTCTCCTCACAAAGACCAACCCGCCGACAGAGCCCTGGAATTGGTCAATCAGATGGCGGGCGACTTCATCGCCGCCGCCGTCACAGCCGCCATGCAGGAGAGAATAGAAGCGGCCGTTGGCTTCTCGGCGCTGAGCTCCGACTCTGAGCGGTCAAGACTCCCAGATACCACCAGGCTGCTGGAGCTGGCGGAGGAGTCGGACAGCGACGTGGAGGACTTTGAGCTGCTGGACCAGTCGGAGCTGGAGCAACTGGAGGGGGAGCTGGGGCTGGGAGAGGCGAAGGCCCAGGCCAAAGAGGAGGCCCAGGCCAAGAGTGACAAGCCGGCCTCTCCTGGATTCTTCTCCAAACTCCTGAGTCGCCACTGATCGATGAAGAGTACAATCTGCATGGGAAGGAGGAGGGCTAGAGGACATGTGGAGGGGAGGCCGGGGTTGTTCTGGTCACAGAAGGGGGGGTTGTGAGAAAACAATGTTTCCATTATCTTCTTTTTTTTTTCCTGTAGTGCTAACATCAACCATTCAAAACAGTTTGTCAAAAAGAAATGCAGTCGGAAGTTACTTTAATCAGATCATCTCATCCTAATGCCGAGATCAGACTACATGATATCAACCAGATAATGACCCGACCCGACAATAAAACTACTAATGAGGCACCTGGGACACCGCACTGCGAGGTGTTGGTGTGAGCGAGAGGAAACAAAAGTGAAAATAATTCACTGTAGACCTTGGAGGGGGCTTTTGCCTGTGCAATCTGCACGTCACTGCACATTTATTTATTTATCTATTTATTTTTTCAACATTTATTTGGTCCCTTGTTGTGCACCCTCTACAGTTCTTTGCCTGTACTGCCCAGCAGCCAGGTCAGAGCATATTTGATCAGCCTACTGGTCCATAATTGTCCATGACCATCACGATATATACGAACACATCGTGTAGTCTGATCCCGGCACCAATAGTTGTTGATGGTTTTAGGACTTTCGGGCTGGTTTTGGTTCTAATCAATTCCTGTAGTTACATTTGTCTTTTCAAAGCAATTTTTATCACCTAATCAAATTGTTTAGATCAATTTAGCATTTCTAAATAGTATACAAACACTTATTAAGTGTTGTTAAGACACTATAAGTTATTTGTAAGCAAATAAGGACATTTGTGGACAACTATGACTATAATAGTCAGGGTTTAATGGTTCTGAGACCGAAACCGTGACACCGTGTATAATTAATAGAATACAATTAGCAATTGAAATATAATTTAAAATGTCATATTTTATATTGAAATCAAATATGCATACATACTTTATATGATTACAGTTATGTTGTATTGTTTTATCAATCATTAATTATCTGTTCATGCACTAAAAATGCATTAAAATGTCTTTATATCTGCTTACAACTAAATGTGTTATAAACCGTTTAATAACTATGTATTGCTTATAAATGCTTATAATACATTTGTCTCTGGTTTAGTCACAAACTATTAAAAACTGATATTGATCTTCTCAACAACCTAAGATGATGAGTAACAAGAAAACTTCCTAAAATACTGAACCGTTCACACATAGACTTAAATGCTTCCAAACAGACTTTTGCTCTAATTGTAAACCAAGCCTAAATACATCCCAAAAAGGCATCGGGGAGACGAGTATAACTGCAGCAAAATGCACATTTTACGAGTAAAAAAAGAAGAAAACCATCGTGTTACATATTATTAATATATATTATAACTGACTGCCTTCAGTTTCAAAACCCCCCAGTAACAGCTGCTACAATGTAGACAGCTCACAAAACTCACTTTCACACCAAATTGATTCATCCAACTACATTACCCAGAATTCAACAGGAATTTGTAGACAATCACTTGGCAATCAAAACTCATTTTAATGCTCAAAATATGTACTACTGGTTGGATGGTTGACTATGAGGATTAAAACGTAGGAAACCTTTTTTTTATTTCCTTTTTTTTAAATTTTATATAAAAATGTATGTATTAGAGGAACTTTTATTTTATAACAACATGCAGCAGTTCTCAAATACTATGCATGGACATTTTGAGACAAACATATTTAAACAATAAAAAACCTTTTACTTTCAGTGCTTCCATGAATCTCACATGGGTCATTGTGGTTGACTTTGCATTTGGATCATCCTCTAACTCAAAATTGCAAACTAAATTTAACAAACTCGTAGCTTGCTGACCAGTTTGCCTTCAGCTGAGAGGCTCAGTTAACGGTGATTGATGTTTTTCAGAGATATATTCTCCCAACAATAAAGTTTTGGGCTTTAGAGTCTGAGATCATGGGTGAAAAGGCGCCAGGGGTGGATGAGATGAGGCCTGAGATGAGGCTCTGGACCTTGTTGGTACTGTGCCGGAAAACGATGGATTGCGCCCTCCGGGTTGAAGGGAGTTCAAGTAACCTGGGTTCACGAGCGAGGTTATAATGGAGCGGGAGATGGACGGGCGATATTCGGTGCGGGGTCAGCAGAGATGGACCGTTGAGCCCGAAGGCAAAGCTCTTGATTTACCAGTCCGACCCTCACCTAAGGTCATGAGCTTTGGGTAGTACGAGAGGTTAAGAGGTTGAGTTGGTTCCATTACATGTTTACGATGCTAGTGAAGCATTGGACACTTTGGTGTTGGACGAGACCTGCAGCAACAGAACGGGATTCTACCCGAGTGGGTTTGACTAAATATTATTAAGTTGGACTGACTCAAGTCCGTCGTCAAATCTCTGCTACAAGTAAACAGGTGAACCCTTGAAGACCTCTGTTCCTCACATCATAGGATGATCCAAAAAGTCAAGAGTTCAAATAAAGTTTTAGTGCACTGAAAGTTGAATGTTATCAGATGGCTTATTTCCATTTGCACCTTAATGATTATTTAACGATGCATCGATGTAGGGCATTCTGCTGCAATCATGGATTCACAGAATGAAGACGAAGTGTGACTGAACTGTTTCTGTGTCATGCCTTGTACATTATAAATACACTGTTTTCATGATAAAGACACAGCAATGTATAATGTATCCTCTTGAATGAATCATGTATTGCCTTGTATTAGCATAACTCTAACAATGACATGTTTGTTTATCAGTCCCTGAGAGGACTTTGTAGTGGCTGCAGTTCATTTCTAGCTCTCATGTGATAACTGTATAAGACAAAGAATATTCCAACTTCTGAGTAAGAGTTTATGCAGAGTCAGGCTTCACTGAATAAATACCTTTTTTAATATTTAGTTATAAAATGATTCATGTTTTTCATTTATCTTCTGGTTGTATCGTGGTGGCTTCCATGTATTTGTCTAAAACTGAAAAGTGTGTTTGAACTTAGTTCCAAAATATGTTGGTGGGTCAGAACCAAAAGGCATTAACAAAATGTACTTTTATGTAATTAAACAATAAAATGTTGAAACAGTCTGTAGATTAATTTGTATTTCTCATGTTGTGCGGACACGTGTTTACATAATGACGTGTGTGTACTTTTTGTGGGCAGATTACATTTTCTCAACTACTGTCCGTCCGATTCACTACAAACGTTGTGGGTGTATTGCTGAGGACCTAAGGAAGTGGAGTGTATTCATAAGTAGCGTGTTATGTTCACACTGTGGTGTGTATTGAGAGGGTCCTCCTATTAACTGTTACACTGCCGAACGGCATGCTGGGTATAGCAATTTATGTTACTTTATCATTAGTTTGTGATATATGAAATAGTTAGTTTATAAATTATACATCATATCGAAGAGACAATAACAATTACATTCTGATTACATTTTATATCCTACATTAAGTGTTAATGATTACCTAATAATTTGGAAACTTTTAAGAAATTGTTTGTAAACCATTATCTAAACATTACATAGATAAACCAAAAAACACTTATTAATCCTTAACAAAGTATTAACAATCTATCTTAATTAAACTTATAGATGCTTTACAAAGTATTTATTAATCATTTAACAAGTTGCAACAGTTTATAACTTTATAATAGCCAGACAAATGATGTTTATAATGTTATGTAACAATCTGCTCCATTTATTTAGAGATGTTTTAAAAATAATTTGGTAATCATTAACAAATATAGTAAATAAAATGTTATATGTCTGCAACAATTGAAAATAAATACATTATAGCATTACTACTTATTAGTAAACATTGTTAACCATTTCATTGTTTGTTAACAGTAAAATAACTATTGAGTTGAATTACTTATCAATTAACCATTTATTAATAATGGTTTCTATAAAGTATTAGTATAATTGTTATCTGTACTAATTATACTTTCAGAAAAAACATGCTGTTTGAATTGGGCTTTGAGACGTAAAACAGAACATGCAGTCGGTCAACTATACACCTGCACTTTGTCGTCATCATTGTGATACGGGTGTGGTTTGGTGAATGAAGCTTTTATATAGAGGTGCGGTTGCAGACACTAAAGCCTTCACTTCAGCAGCGTATCTGCTCAGCCCTCTATAACCCAAACATGGCCAGCAATGCCAAAGGAGACAAACGTGGTGAGTACATCAACTCTCTCAAAGAGTTCAGCTCACTCTTTTCTCTACATTCCTCCTTTCTCTGTCTGTGATCAGGGCTGAACAATCGCCTCTGTGTTGGCAGCGATGGAGACGGCATGTTTTCAGGGAGCAGATGGGAGGAGTGTGACTGATATTCTAGTTTGATTAACAACCAGGACAGGTTACGTCAGAGTTTTACAGGGCAGCAGATACACAGCGTCTCTCCTCATCCACACATACCGTACATATTTTTTTCTGTTAATTCCAGGAAATGTAGCTATCTGGTAAAATGTAATTCAATATTTAATTTCTGTAGCCTATCCAATGATTCTGTGTACCATTCTTTCTTTATGATTCCTTGTCTCACTGCAGTTTCATTTCTATAAAAAGCTAAAAGTAGTGAAACTATGAACAAGTATGCACATTCCTTACAACCTTGTTTGATGTGAATCTACCCGACATCTTGCCAGACAACAACTTTCAATATTGGACAGTAAGATTACGTCCAATGCCAACATTTGTTGTGTCCATGCTTTCTATGAAGCCAACATCTTTAAAGTCCTCACCTTCTCTTTAACAGTGCATGACAATTAACCCCTTGCTAAGTCCCGTCCCTCGAATGCAGACTCATAGCCAATCATACCATAGCATCGACCATCTCCGACAAGAGTCCAACATATATAGAGTCCAACACATATATATATATATATATATATATATATATATATATATC